TGATGCCTGAAATATTAAATACAGTCAACATTCAGTATTGTCTGTGGTAATCAATTGATGTAATAGTGCCAGTGACCTCATTGTAGTTGTACAATCCTGCTTGGACTTTAAAATTGCTGAGCCATATTTGCTTTAGTAGGAAAGGAAACACATCTGAGAAGACTCATGTTTTGTTGTTTTTCAGAGAATACTGTAATGATGTAAAAAAATCAGAAAACAACACTGAATTTCTATTAAATTTCAATGAATTTATTGACAGAAATACTCCAAGCAGTCCGTCATGTAAGTATTATTCTCAAGTCACTGAAATTTTTCCTTAGGAAAATACTTACTCATAAATGAGAATTAGTGAAGATGACAGCTTTCATGCCCAAATCATGTGGTTTGGGTTCTTCACTGATTTTTTTTTTTTTTTTTTTTTTTTTGGCAGAAATGCATCTAATGTTGGGATTTTCTACCCAAGGTAGAGATTGTAAAATTAGTTCACAATTTTCTGGGTTTATTTAAGCAATTTTGCAGGACATTATGCATCCAGTGTTTTCCACACTTCCTCTCAGCATTCTGTTCTAGCAGCAAATAACTACCAAATTGTTTTAATACACTCCAAATATTTTCTTATTTTTTTTTTATCTTGCACATATCAGCCAAAGTAAGTCTCAAATAGACTTCAAAATCTTGTAATGAACTTCAGTCTGCTTTCTTGTCAGCTTATATAACCAAAATAAGTAAAGAAAAGGAGCCGAGAACAGAAATAACCAATGACCAGAATAAAAGAGAAGGGAGTTCCGTTGCTGGTTCACAAATCGTTTAAAGAGATCTCTCCTGGTCTTGAGTTGTTTAAGACCACAGGTTCATGTAACTGCTGCAGGGGTGAGCACTGGGCTTTGGGAAGGTGTTCATATTTTGAAATTAGTCCTTAAACTCCATTTAGAATAAATGAGGAGTTATGTATTTGAATAGCAATTAGTAAGGCATTAAAGTCTTGTTCTCATGAAAAATTCAATGTTTGGATTTGTTTGTTTATGCGTACAAGTCTGTTTACCATTATTAATAATTTATAAACACTGGGAATAAACTTTTTTCTGGTTGTTTTGTTTGTTTTTTTGGGGTTTTGTTTTGTTTTGTTTTGTTTTGTTTTGTTTTGTTTTGTTTTGCATTGCATTCCCCGAGTCTTTTCAACATGTTGTTGTCAGGGATCACTGGTAAATTCAATAAGAATCTCTCTGCTAGACCATGTAACTGAAGGAATGTGCACTTAGATATGAGATCTTCTCACAAAAGGCTATATTTGTGTGCATGTGTGAGTATTTGTTGTTGTTTTTAATAGGGTGATCTTCTTCATTGACAAGTCACTGACTGACTGAAATTTTACTTGAATCCCCTGACTCAATCTTGGAAATGAAAGCATTCAACTCTAAATGATTAAACAAGTTAATAAGTGTAAATTCTAGTTTAATACTCACTAGTTACTTAAGCTAGTATTGAGGATACATTTAGTGATGTTGTAGTATACACTAGGGCTTAATAAGCAATTATGTCAAAATGTTATCAAATTATTGCTAGATTTCATTTTGGAATCCACAAATTAATTCACTTTTTTCCTTCTTTTTTCTAATAATTAAGTTGCTTTAAAAATAGTCTCCTGAATAAGTAAACAGTGGTGACTAAAGGAAACAGTGGCTGTGGACATTATCTCAGCTAAAAATGCTTTTTAAAAGGAATAACTAGTTAAATCCCTGAACTAAAATAATCTATATACTATAAGTTTAATGCCTGTTACATTTTTTTCCTCACCCCATCTAAAACTTTAACCTGTTAGAAGTTAGCCAGGAAGACAGGGATGGTTTATCAGGGAGTGCAGTGACAGGACAAGGGGTAATGGGTTTAAGCCGAAGGAGGGTCGATTTAGATTAGATATTAGGAAGAAATTCTTGACTGTGAGGGTGGTGAGGCACTGGCACAGGTTGCCCAGAGAAGCTGTGGATGCCCCATCCCTGGAAGTGTTCAAGGCCAGGTTGGATGGGGCTTTGGATAACCTGGTCTAGTGGAGGGTGTCCCTGCCCATGGCAGGGGGTTGGCACTGGATGATCTTTGAGGTCCCTTCCAACCCAAACCAGTGTATGATTCTATGATAGACAACTACCTCTGTCATTATTTACTGGGCAGTAAGACTCTTGACATGTGCTTTACGTGAAGAAGCAAGCCTCACTTTGTGAAGGTGCATGCAGTACAAGGGGATCCTCAACAAAAAATGCATCCAGTAAAGTATTAGGAGTCTATATTAGCAGAGATAAATATAATTTTGAGAGATATATTTTGATATTTATATTGCGGCAGAATTTCAATTTAATTTCTAGGCAAATGTGGATGCAGTAAGGCCATCCAAATGTCATCCTGTGAGCTTTTGTCATTACCTCCAGCAAAGAAATATTTTTAAAACATTACCCTAACTTACATTCGATACTATATCATGACAGCATGCATGCAAATAGGGAAAGTGAGACTGTGGCATTTGATGTAGTTTAACAGGTTTATCTAGCAAAGCCATGTAAATATATCTAATGAGAATTAAATTAATCCATCAAGGTGATATGAGACAGTGCTTCCTGCTGGTCAATCAGAGCTGCTGGCTCTCTGTGTAGCATGTCCGCACATTCAGGCTTCAGTGGATTTTAGGAAAAAGCCTTTTTGCTAAAACTTAGGAAGCTCTGAAAACAGATTGAAATAGGGCTTTTCTAAAAAACAAACAAACAAACAAACAAACAAACAAAAGTCAATATCAGTTTTCTGGAATCTGAGACTGAGGGAGAAGCACAGAGTGTGTCATGGCTCTCAATGGAGCAAAACTGAAGAAAAGTTGGTGGGGTTTATTTTTATTTTTCCCCAGAAGGAGTTTTCAGTCTCCTCAGCAAGGCCGGGTGCCTGGGCTTTGGCAGAATTGGGAGTTGCAGGTTCCAGTCATGGAACAACTGATTTGCCAACACCGATTTACTGTGTGACATTGAAGATCAAGAGCCGGATATTCCCTTTACATTATTTTGCTCCAGATTAGCTCTGTTGTATTTTCCATAGTGATAAAATCTGTATTATAGTGTGTGCTTCCTTCTGTTGACCGTGCCTAGAACTTTCTCTTGCAAAGTGGTACTGAAAAAGATGCTTGAGAAGCACTGACTTCAAACCATCTTTCCAAAGATATTTAAAAATGACATATCCATCTAAGCAACCAATTCAAAATTAGTTTATTATTTCCCTGTACCCATTTTCAGATGGCAAACAGGTTTTTTGAGAGGCTGGGACTTAAATGATTTAAATATAATTATATTGTAGTTGAATTCTTTCATAAATATAACTAAGAATTAAGTGTTGCTTCATTGCATCACCTGAGCAAAAAGTTTGAACGAAAACATGCTTTAACAATGGGTCAATTTCCAATAGGTTAATTTTACATAGAGGCTTTGCAAAGCTGGGGTCTGTACCCTTATCACCTTGCTTATTCCCATGACACAAAGATAGTTTTTTAGGACACAATGAAGGAAAAGTTTAAATGAAGTCAACAATGTCAGAGCAATCTATTTAAAAGTAAGTAAGTACTTCATATAATTTGAAGTTAGACAGGATGTCTAATAGAAACAGCCCGATTTTTGTGGCTGTAGCATCTTGAACTGTAGCTCAGAATTTCGTTTTAGCCATTTAGTGAAACTCCATGTTGTATAGTTTCAGCTGGGTTCCTTTACTCTTTTGATAGGTAATACTGACATGGTCATTAGAGTTTTGCTGGATGCAGGATTTACAAATGAACTTGCCCAAAATTATTGGAGTAAACTGTCTCTGTAAGTATACTTTTCATTGACTGTGATTTTTTAATGCATTTCAAAGTTTGATAACAAAATAATATACCTGTGTGTAGATACAGATGTACAGTTAATGCTTACACGTGATAGATATTTAATTCACAGTTATGCACTGAAATGGTAACTGCTGACATCAGAACTTGTAAGAATTTCAGTCGGTTTTCATTTTAAATTTTATTTTTGTTTACAGTGATGGAGTTGTTGCACAATTTGTTGTTACAGATGGTGGAATTACTAGAGTGTTCCCCAAAAGGTAACAATTATAAAATAATATAATATGATAATATGGAAATCTGAGAGGGTGGAATATTAAATAATGGACCTATTGAATGAAAAACAACCTCTCCTACAGTCTAAACTGTACTGATAACTATGAAACGAATAGAATGTCTTGTTTTCCTTTGATTTTACCTGTGTCACTGCTTGACACTGATCCGTAGCAGTATTTCCATCGCAGGTCTTTGTAATCCAAGTTTCTAATCAGTGTAGAGTAGCAGTAAAAACAGTGCTGTTGTAGTAGTAGTGGGGCCATACTAATCCCTAATTACTCCTGACCACTCATTTGTTTGGTAGGCTGGCAGGCAGCAAATACTGTAAAGCAGTGGGCTATTATTTTTTTTTAGACTGTTAAGAGCAGACCAAATGGTCCAGGGGCTTCAAGAGAGAAAAATGTATCATTACCAGAGGGCAAAAAGGGAATGTGGAAGTGGTCATATAATAAACTAGACACCCCCATCAGTAACTGGGAATAGTGAGGGCACCAGTACAGATATACCAGTAAATGGCAAATTTATCTATTTTCTTAGGTAAATCTGTGTTTCCCCAAAATGGGAGAATGCCAGTGAATTTTACTCCCAAAATCAGTTTCTTTTTTGTTTTGTTGTTACTAATGATATGAAATATTTTGGGATAATTTCTCAAGAGATAGCATGTGTTATAAAGATTTGTTTATGTTTTGTTGTACGTATTTGTCTCAATATATCTGAAAATTATGAGATATGGTCCGTGTTGCTCCAAGAATGCTGTTTTCTTTTTCTTTTTCTGAAGTTTTTTTTAATAATTACACCTGGCAGGTAACCAGTGAAAGCTGGACTACATGAATGAACCCCATATTATTTTCAACTGCGTAACATAAAAAAACCCCAACCCTGCAGCACAGCTTTAATGAGATTCTAACTATCTTTTTTTGATCACTTTTTTTTTTTGTGATTAGGGCAGGAGAAGATTGGTTGGAAAATGCTGAAACTTATGAAGTCAGCTTCTATAAACGGAGTTTAGATAATGACAACTATATTTTCACAGCTCCGTACTACAACAGTAAGTCATTGCTGTTTTGAAATGTCAGATATAAATCCAATATAACTGTAGTTGTGGAATTTTCCCATACCAGTTGAGGTCACTGACAAAGGATGCAAGTGGGACACTTCATAAGGAAAAAAACCTTGGGAGGTCACCCATTATTAAGGAAAAAGTAGCTATGAGGGCACTAAACAAGGGAAGTCATAATTTGTCATTGATTCTGGTGGCCCTGAATGCTCAGAGTTAACAAAGCTGGAAACATGCACAGTACTGGTGGTCATTTGTTATACTGAGACACTGTTTTACAGAGATGCTTTGGCAGAATTATTTTTAAAGGAAGTGAAAGAAAATTGCACTCAGGGAGAATAACAGTACCTAAAAATCCTTATTTGTGCTGAGTTTGGTAAACTTCCTCAGCACCAAACCTAACCTGGGGGAGCAGCTATAAGGGTCCAGAGTCCACAAGTCTGTCCACTGGGCCGCTGCTTTATTTAAACCTTGGTTTTGAATTCTGTTTCAAATTGCTATTATTCACCAAAAGCAGTTTGTCTGAAATACTGTGATATTTAAAACCTATATATGCACTATAGTAAGTGCTTGTTACTGATGTGAGCAGCATTAACCTTGCCAAGCTCATGTAAAAGCAGGTGCTACCGCAAATGGCATACTCCTCTCTTAAACATATGGGATCTTTTACTGCTGTCATTTCATACTTATTTATTGCATCTTTTCTCAATAAAATATTAACAAGGTAATTAACTAAAATCCCTGAAGCTTTTGTTGTTCCTCAAAGAGCTCCAGGGAATGTACTTTTAACTTGCTTTTTCATGCTAAGCAGTGTTGAAAACAGGCTGAAGGCTGTCCGAGAAGTAATTGTTGGTTAGTGAGTAGTGTCAGTATACGCTGCATTGACAAATACACGGACGACAGCAGGATAAAATCTTTGGCTCTGATCCTGGTTTTAACAGAGCTGCTCACATGTGTAAAGCTATTCATGGCTCTGTTTGTGGAGGGAAAAAAAAAAAAAAAAGAAAAGAAAAAAAAGCTACAGTAACTTTATGAAGCAGTGAAATCATGTACAAAAAGTGAATGAAGTAAACAAAAGTATTCCTTAGTCATCCAGATGTTGGTGATCTGAACTATTACAGGTGTTAAATGCGTGGTACAGCTGAGTCAGTGCTTTTGAATAAGGATTTTTTTTAATCATTTGGGGTATTTGAATAATTATTAATTTCTCTTTCAGAGGAAGAGGCTTTTATATCACCCTAACCTTTTGTTTGTTTGCTTGTTTCCCTTCTATCCTCTCAGAAAGTGGTGCCAATAGCTATGAAACAGGTATTATGGTAAGCAAGGCTGTGGAAATAACAATTAATGGGAAGCTTCTGAAACCAGCAGGTAAGATATACTGGTGCTGAAATTCTAAAAACATTGGTTATTTGGTTCTTGCACAACAGTGAATTAGAAATGTAATGGAGATTTCAAAGGAACTTCACTTTATATAACATTCTTTTCTCTGAGACTGTTTTAATCTTGCTGGTGGAAATCAAACCAAAGATTTGGTTGTGTTTGAGTAAGAGTGTTTAATTTATTAGTCTCATGAAGGATGTTGGTGGTCAGACAACAGAGCAAAACTCATATTTTATCCTCTTCCAGTTTAATAATTTAGATGTTATTATAATTTTCCCTTTTTATTTTTTTTGATTCTACAGTTACCTTTTTTTTTCCTTCTTCTCATTTTACTAAAAAAGACTTTCATGTATTTCTTGTTAGTTGTTGGAATAAAAATTGATGCAACCAGCTGGATGGAAAATTTCACAAAAACCACAATCAAGAGCCTGGTAAGCAATTGACCAAGTCTTTTTTGAACTTTATTTGCATTTCTCAAAGCTTCAAATGCAAATAGGTCTAATAGCTCTTTGTGCCAGTCACACTGATGCGTAGTTGCCAAGTAGTTGTGGTATTTAAATCATCCAAGTGCACAAAATAAATCTATGTTGAAATAGGCTGCATTTTGTACGTGTCTGACTTTTATAATTATAGAACATGAATAAAGAAAGACAGAGAAAAATGACATATTCCAGCCAGTAGGCTCCCTACTAAGATTGTGCTGTAGCAGTGAATAAAATCTGCAAAAGAATTGGTGAATCTATTTTTATTCAATATGGAGGATGGGTAAGCAGTGGGCAGTAAGGATTTATATTGCAACCAACATCACAGCATTTTGGCAGAACTTAATGAAATAGGTGCTTAGCCCTTTCATTCCTTACATCTAATGCTTAGATGTAAATGAAAGGAGGAAAGGCTGAATGGAAGGAAAAACTCAAGAATTAATAGTACATTTGGAAATGAAAGGTACAAAATTAAGACAATTATGGAACAAGTGGATGAGGAAATGTTGCTTGATTGGTTGTATATTATGGAATCAGTAACAGCGTCTGGCCGATGTAGGTATTATAGCTGTAGTTCAACGGGTAGGCAAATGCATGGCCTGAATGTCAGAACAGATAAGGACAAAAATACCTAACTGAGAAAGAGGAAGGAAGGAAGGAAGGAAGGAAGGAAGGAAGGAAGGAAGGAAAAGGAAAAAGAAGGAAATAAAGAAGGAAATAAGAAAAGAAAAGAAAAGAAAAGAAAAGAAAAGAAAAGAAAAGAAAAGAAAAGAAAAGAAAAGAAAAGAAAAGAAAAGAAAAGAAAAGAAAAGAAAAGAAAAGAAAAGAAAAGAAAAGAAAAGAAAAGAAAAGAAAAGAAAAGAAAAGAAAAGAAAAGAAAAGAAAAGAAAAGAAAAGAAAAGAAAAGAAAAGAAAAGAAAAGAAAAGAAAAGAAAAGAAAAGAAAAGAAAAGAAAAGAAAAGAAAAGAAAAGAAAAGAAAAGAAAAGAAAAGAAAGAAAAGAAAAGAAAAGAAAAGAAAAGAAAAGAGAAAAGAAAAAGAAAAGAGAGAGAAAGAGGAGAGAGAGAAAGAGAGAGAAAGAAAGAGAAAAGAAAAAGAAAAGAGAGAGAGAGAAAGAGGAGAGAGAGAGAAAGAGAGAGAAAGAAAGAAAGAGAAAAAGAGAAAGAAAGAAAGAAAAAGAAAGAAAGAGAAAGAAAGAAAAGAAAGAAAGAGAAAGAAAAAGAAAGAAAGAAAGAGAAAAGAAAAAAGAGAAAGAAAGCTCAAATAATTTGAGATGAACGCAGCATTACCTGGTAGTTGTTTTGCTCAGGACATAATGCAAGGAAACAGTTATGTGTATATGTATACACATATTGCAAGAAAAAGAGAAAACCGTCAGTAATCAAAGCCATAACAGCTAGAGTGGAGCTGATGGGCTTCCTTTGTCACATGGGATTCGTGTGCTTTGAGGCTGCTGAAGCTTTTCATGGTCAAAAAAGATACTTGGTGGCATGTTTTCTGGGTTTTCTTTCCATACCCCAAACACATGGAAATGTACATGTTTGTTCTTTTTTATTTTATACTCCCAACACTGACATCCTGACAAGTCCCCAAACTATTTATCGCTAATGTATTGAGCATGTACCAGAGACTGTGAACACAGTAGACAGTGTGCTGTTGATAATTACTGAATATGGGTTGTTCACAGAGATATTTGTCATAAATGACACACAGTTAAAATTAATTTTGATTGATATAGAGATACTGAAAATCAAATCACTTGTTCTTGTCTTGATTGATTAATATCACTGCAAAATACAGTTTCTTTTGAAAGATTTTTGTGAAGATTATTGTACTTCTGTTTTTTAGTGCAACAGTGAAATCTGTGGCTGTGAGAGAAACAGTATGGTAAGAATATTTTCAATTGATGAATATCTAGCAGATTATGAAAATTCACTTATTCTCTCTAGCTTTTTCTAAGACAACTATTCTATCATTATTGTTTGAGGGTTAATTTGACAGACAACAGAACTTAGTCATTTGTGTCTTGAGAAAGAGATGAAGATTAGGAGGGGAGGGGGTGAAAGAGGGTATGAAAGTCCCGTGAAGTGATTGTTCAAGAATGATTACAATGAGGTTATGAGAACTAGAGGGAAGAAAAAAATTGAGTAAGAGCAATAGAGAGTGATGTGAAGAAAAATGTGAGAAAAATATAATGGTAATTTTGAAAGCAAGAGGCGAATCCTGAGGAAAGGGAATAATTTAAAAAAAAAAAAAATCTGAGAAAAGGAACACTAGAAGTACCTTAGAGAAGGGTAAATGCAAACTGAAAAGCACCACAGTACATGATGTGCCCTTCACCAGTCATTAGTCATCCTCCTCTCCTGTTTCCAGCCCATTCAGGATTCAGGGGTGCCCTGGCTCTGCTAGCACTCAGGAGAGCTCAGCCTCGGGGGCTATCACACTACCAGGTTCTGTCATGTGCTTTAAGGCTTTCCCTGCTCAGGTCTTCTGCCACTTCTTTTGTGGAGTGTGAAGATCATTAAATGCAGGAGTTACAGCAAAAAGGGTACTCTGGCCTCACTGCTGTCTCTCCAATCTCTGACTGCAAGGATCTTTTACAAAGTGCAAAGCATAGGGAACCAGTGGGCTTCCCAGTCCTGCACCTGACACCTGGAAGAAACCCCACTACAGTCCTTGGCAAGTGAAAATAAGCCTGACTAGCAAGCGAGAGTCTGTCCTTAAGACTTTTACTACTAAAAACTGCAAATGGAAAAGGACTTTAAGCATGGCTGAAGCACATGAGAAGTTGTAGTCCCTTATTATGAGTTGAGATTCAATTATAATGAGATTTAATAAGGATATAGCACTCTTAGAGCTAACAAAGTATTGAGCAAATAAGAATTTACAAAACAACTTTTATGAAATTAAGCCACAAATAAGCCTTTGATCTGTACAAACTTTATAATACTGATAATGCTACTTATTATAGCTTAATATCACCCCTTGGCTATGGGGTTGTGATTTCGCCTGAGCCACACAGATCTGAAGATACTTCTGAAGTGTTGAATAAAAAATAGTTTCTTACAGAGTGTTGTTCTCTTGACAAATCCGTTCTGCAAAACATATTGTACTTTCTTACAATAGCATGTGGACTGTGTTATCCTTGACGATGGTGGATTTCTTTTGATGTCAAATCGGGATGAATATACACAACAGGTATGTCTAGTTTTTTTAAGGACAGATTAAAAAAAAAAATGGGAAAAAGTTTTAAGAGAAAAAAATAGCATTTCACTCTCAAGTTACCCTAAGAATAAAATTTCCAAATCACAAAAAAAAATGTGCTGTATCAGAAATTCCAGTTATTTTCCAGTTAGTCTTTTTCACAGTCTTGTTTATGGTTCAAGATGCCATGCTTCTACCAAGTTGCGTTCTTTGTGCTCTGCCCTTAGGCTGGTAGGCTGCCGATGGACCTGTGATGGTGAGGGCTAGTATGGCACCCACACACCTTTTTTCTCCTATTCCTCTTGTTCTTCCCCAAGCAAGGTGGTCTCATTGATAGTGCATTTAACAATTACTGTCTAACTGGAGTTCTCCAACCAAGCTTTTGGGAGAGAAATAGTCAAAGAAAGAAAGAAATACATAAGCAGCACAACCAGATGAGTTGTGTAGAGGGAAAAAATCAGAACTGTTAACTTTTTCATGAGAAAAATACTTGGAAATACTTTATCTCCATATATTCTCCTTCATCAGATTGGAAGATTCTTTGGTGAAATTGATCCTGGTCTGATGCGAAACCTGATTAACATGTCCCTGTATGCCTTTAACAAGTCGTACGACTATCAATCGGTCTGCGATCCCGAAGAAGAACCAAAGCAAGGAGCTGGACTTCGTTCTGCTTATGTGGTCAGTAATTCGTTGTGCAGTGACTGACAGTCCCTTAAAAGTCTGCAGGTGCTTATGCAAATAACATAATCTCTGTTGTTTTTTTCCCAGCCTACGATAACAGATATTTTGCATCTAGGATGGTGGGCTTCAGCAGCTGCCTGGTAAGTGCAAGTGCGTCAGAAATCTGTATCCAAACTAGAATTATTCAGCAGGTTGAGACTGTATTGGTCTCTCCCCTGCCTCACTCCCGAAACTGCTCTGAACCCTGTGTTTCTGCAGGTTCTCATGGTGAAAATAGCTAGCTATATCTCCAAACTCCTAGAAAATTCAGTGTTCTGTTGACAGTTGAAATCAAAACTCCTCTTGCCAGGTTTTGTGACTGTGTTTTCTGACTCTGCAAAATCAGCTTCAGGAAGCAGAGTTGGGACTAACGGTCTAAGTCTGATTGGCAGGTGTGAAGGTCCAGGTACAATTATATTTAGAATTATTGACCACTTGGTTCCGTATTTCAGAATTTTGCCTTTCTCTTTTTCTAGCAAGAAGTCTTAAAAAAATCAATATTTGCTTCTCACTGAATGACTTTACAAAAACACATGAAGCCTCCCTATTACAAAATGTAAAGAAGTCTTGCTTTGGACTGCAGGATAACCAATATGTTATCTGATGGCACAGTTCAGTTAAAGGTTCTCATGATACTTATTAGTTGGTTCTTTGAAATGGCATGTGAAAAGCACTACTGAACTATTTCAAGGAAGCAAATATAGATAAAGCATTTTGGATAATTCTATAGTCGTGTGTCCTAGCGTTTTCTATAGCTGAGGAGAAAAGTAGGTATATTTGAACTGGTGTGGAGTTTTGGGATTGACCTTGAGACAGGCAGGATTATACCAGTAATTAGGTTTATCTTTTACAGTCACAATATTGGATACATTTTAAAACTAAAGATCAATTTAGGAGCTTTCTTTTCTTTTGACTTTGATTTATGCATTATTAATAATGTCCACAGAAATAGTTTTACCTATTTCAGACCCATGTAGATAGACACCTCCAGCACCTACTTACCCTAGCATAAAATTGGGATAAGTAATTAGAGTGGACATGATACTTCTTCATTGGTGTGAATTGCACCCTTGGAGACTGCCTGTTCCTTTTCGTAAAGTTTCATGATGCTTATTTTATATAATAATTATCAAACTGGAATAATTTACCTACTTTATAAAGCTAGAAGTTAAAATATATAGCAGCTGAACAAACATACAGCAATTTTCTCATGGATAGCACTATGAAGTTTGTATGTTGGTTTTTATTGTTGGTTACATTTCGTTAACAGCAACAACAAAAATCCTGGTTTTCTTGGACAACAGCAAACCTCAAAAACTGGAGATGGGCAATAATCCAGAAGAGAAACTTGAGCTCTTCTCAAACAGAAAAACTTTAGTTTATCAGTGTACAAATCAGACTCAGTGGTCTGGACTCAATTTAGACCTGAGGTTTATTTTGTGGGATGTTTAACTTGAAAGCACCATATGAAAGTACTTTCCGTGGACATGTTTTTAATGGAATCTAGGTCAGAAGCAGGCAAAGAAGGCCATTAAGCAAGCAGAGTGAAAAGGGCTGACCAAAAAATGGATTCATTGAGGCACCTGGCAAAAGCAAATGCAGGGAAATAAGAGAAACCAGGTTATTAAAGAAAACTATAGTGTTTCAGGCAACAATGTGGGATAAAGGTGTGAGTGATAATTTTCGAAATTTGTATGGGATACATCAGCATTTAGTTAAGAGAGTATGTATCGTTTCTCCTTCATGCTCTTTTAACTCAGATTTTACAGTTTTCCCAGGTTGCCTTTTTCACTCAGTTCCCTGTAAATTCTGTGGTAAGCCCTTACAAAGGATTACTATTTTCTGTCAGCAAATTGGATCGCTGTTGAATGGCGTCAGGTCTCTTCTCATCCATGACGGTTGGTGCACTGTACATCTGAAGATTCAAGGCACAAAGCTTTGGATGTGAATCCAGAGCTCCTTCAGGCAATGCCTCCACTGGAAAGGTGACAGGCAGATTCAGTTTCTTTACACATGGATCATGCTGGATAAGGAAAAAAGGAAAAAAATCTTGGAGGTTGAATAAAATTATACGGTCCCTTCTCTCTGCAGAACAGGCCTTAGAACAGAATGAGATGAAGAGAGGTCAGGTCATATTTGTAGGTAGAAGCAAGCCTAAACCATGACGATAGGAAATTACAACTTAGGAAAGTTTAAGCAGAAACAGGGAGTCAAGGAATATTGCTGTTGTAATTCCTATTTCGACAGGAGTAGAAGGGGGCCATGTATGTGGCAAATCAGTATTTGATTCAACTAAATAAAATAGGAAAAATTTGATCATGAGTGAAGAAAAGTAATTTGAAATAAGCAGAGCTCTTTAAGGCTAAGTGTTTTGGCAGCATCTAGGAGGAAAATGCATTCCATGCCTCAAGAGCAGGAATAGAGATGATTTTAAAAGTCAACTGCTACAGTAATGATTTTTATAAAATACTTGTAATATTCCAGTATACGTCTCCTTCTCAGCAATTTAATGAATCTTAATCAGTGCAAAGTATCTAATTCAGGAGCATTTTCCCTCAGTGTGTTCAAAAGGAGTTCTGTTAAGTGTTAGAGGAAAGCCAACATGCCTCTTCCACCTCCCATGGAGGTGTAAAAGGAGGACATGGACGGCATGATAACATTTCTATTATGTGATTTATGGGCACAAATGATAGAAAATCTCAACAGTAGAATAAAAGATTAGTGTGAAAAAAGACCTGGGAGAAAGTGTGAAAAGAAAACCAAAGTCAAACTGTAAGGTTTAAAGAAACACAGCTTTAATAACTGGCAAAAACATAATAAGCCATGATGATTTTGTTGTTAATAACACTTATTTGAGTAGTTCTAAGGAGCCATTAAAATACAAAGAAGACAAATAGCTTTTAACAAATATATATTGTCTTTTGTGTTCAGGTCTATCTTACAGCAGCTGTTTTTGAGCTTGACTTTTCCACGTTTCCTTGAAGCAGGTAAGTCAAGAGAATGTTAAAGAGTCAACTTTGAGTGAAGTAGAAGGTAAGAATCTAGGCTGGGGGCCATATTTGGATCTCCCCATTGCACCTGTGACATAAAAATGTCCTTCTTTATTTATTTATTTTCTTCTTTCTGTCAGCTGATATGGAAGATGACGATTTTGGTGCCGCCCTGCCTAAAACAAGCTGTATCACTGAGCAAACTCAGTATTTCTTTGAAAATGATGATAAATCCTTTGGTGGGATTGTAGACTGTATAAACTGCTCCAGGTAAAATTTCTTCAATACAAATAATATCTTTTGGATATTCATTTATTTTACAAAAGATAATGGCACTGTTATAAGAACCAAAAATATTGGATTAATTCCACTAGACTTACATAAGCAAGGCAGAGAAGTATATAGACAGTAAAATGATAAATTGCATTCTATTTGCATTTGTTTAGAATTAATTTGAATTGTAATAATTAAAGAATTATAGAAATATTTTAGTCAAATCTTTAGTTTATAGTCTATATATGCTCCATGAAAACTGTATTTCTATCTCTGTTACAATTTGTTTTCTTTTAATTTATTAAGTGAACTTAAAGGCATTCTGCAATATTCAGAAGATGATTTTCTTTAATCTGGTTATGTATTGGAATTTTTGATGGTCGAGAAGATTATGCAATTTATCTTCAAATTTACCTTCTAGTCAATAGTCCTCATGATTGAAGAGCTGTCTGTCTTATTAGGCAAACCGTGTGCTTATTCAAGATGATATTTAAAGATAAGTTTAAAAAATTGGATACTTCAGAATCATAGAATCATAGAATCATTTTGGTTGGAAAAGACCTTTAAGATCATCAAGTCCAACCGTTAACCTAGAACTGCCAAGTTCACCACTAAACCATGTCCCCAAGTGCCACATCTACACATCTTTTAAATACCTCCAGGGATGGTGACTCTACCACTTCCCTGGGCAGCCTGTTCCAATGATTGACAACCCTTTCAGTGAAGAAATTGTTCCTAATATATGATTTAAGCTTCCCCTGGTGCAACTTGAGGCCATTTCCTCTTGTGCTATCAGTTGTTACTTGGGAGAAGAGACCAACACCCACCTGGCTACAACCTCCTTTCAGGGAGTTGTAGAGAGCGATCAGGTCTCCCCTCAGCCTCCTTTTCTCCAGGCTAAACAACCCCAGTTCCCTCAGCTGCTCCTCATAAGACTTGTGCTCCAGACCCTTCACCAGCTTTGTTGCCCTTCTCTGGACACGCTCCAGCACCTCAATGTCCTTCTTATAGTGAGGGGCCCAAAACTGAACACAGCACTCGAGGTGCAGCCTCACCAGTGCCAAGTACAGGGAGACGATCACTTCCCTAGTCCTGCTGGCCACACTAGGTCCGATACAAGCCAGGATGCTGTTGGCCTTCTTGGCCACCTGGGAATGCTGCTGGCTCATATTGAGCTGGCTGTCAACCAACACCTCCAGGTCTTTTTCCACTGGGCAGCCTTCCAGCTGCTCTTCCCAGGCCTGTAGCACAACAAAGCAACTTGGACCTAGTTCTGTGTTTCATACAAAAGCCTGTTGGGTCCAAAGTTTGCATACATTAGGAGTTTCCGAAAATGTCTTAGAAATTAAAATTAATAGTAAGGTTTCAAACTCCTTGAAGACAATATTTTAAGCAAGGAAGGAAAGACAGAGGACATTGGAGAATGCCAAAACATGTAGACACTTTCTCCCACTTCCATACTTCCTCCTCCGTGTTGCTAGTATGTGTTCGTGTGGTACCTGGTTGTGCAGAGAACTCATTAAGCTGGGGTTTTTGGTTTTGGTTTTGGTTCTGGTTTGGAGAGATTTCAGAAGAGTTCTTTAATTCCCTTTACTGAAAGACTACAGAAATTATTATGCTAATGTCGCAAAAATAGTGCCACAGTGTGGGAATGAGTACGAAAGGACAATTTAAGCTACTTAAACCAACCAGATACGTAATCATAACATAGGTTATTTAAATAACAGGTATTTTGTCCTCTTATTATACCCAATCAGTGGTGTGAAATTATCATCTGTGAAATTTCAGAAATAATCTGATCACTTCACACCTAAGTAATAAATCTCTGCTTACATGGAGTGGTAACCACCTATATGAAAAGACTTGCTTGTTATTTTATATGTGTATGAAAATGTATTTAGAATCCACTAATAGAAATTAACCTGTTAGATTGTCCTGAATTTACCTCGCTTTGACAAGTAAAATATATTTTATTAATGACTAAGAAATATTAAGATTTTTTTCTCTGCTCTTTTGATGGTCTATCTGCCTTTCCAGTAAATTTAAATTGTACATGAAAATTATCCTTGAAAAATCCAGAAATATCCTTACCATCCTTAATGCCTCTAAGCCATTAAGTGTAGTATCTATAGCTTAGAGGTATAATGCTGCCTATTCAATTATTTACAAATTGAAAATGACCCTACAAATTTAAAGGCCTTTTGTGGAATTATATGTACATAAAAATACAACAAACACACATCCAATACTCAGCATACATACACTAAACCTCTTTCTCACCTTTCTTACAGACATGTTTATGTGTTGGGGCTTTGTTTAGTTGGTTGGGTTTGTGGTTGAGGGTTTTCTC